ATGAGAGAGAAAGATGTTTCAGGAAAAAGTTTAGAATCAATTAATGATCACATACAAAATTTTTATAATTTACACAATTACAATACTAAATCATCGAAAATTAAAATTCAGAATTCCAAAGCCGAAATCAATGAACGATTCGACGATTTGGTTATTTTCGCAATAAGGGAACTCTCAAAATTAAAAGACGGAAAATAATAAAAAGTCTGGAAATTAATTAACAATTTACTAATAACTCGAGACTTCTTATAATTTTCCCATGCCTTATACATGATTCATTGGCACATGAATTGCGCGTTGCGCAGACAGAACACTTAATATTATCCTGTATAAGGTTGCAGTGCATATATTTTAATAATATAACCATACACGGAAGATTGTTGTTACCAGAATAAGCTGTACCAAAAGTGATGAGCATAGAAAAATAACGAACAGGTCTTGAGATTTCTGCAACCAGTCTCACATTTTTACATACTTATCTGGATCACCGAAAAACCTGTGACTAGTCCGTTTTATAACTATACTAGTACAAGTTTTTCAATAGCTTTGGTACAGGATTTTTCTGTACCATGGATAGTCTATTAAATTTGTGTACTGCGCATGGCTTTCTACTGTACCGTGCATAGAACGTGCGCTTATATATAGTGGATATGTATATGCATACATGTATAGGATTGTTAATCCATACAAATACACATAAGCGAGTTAATAATACAAATACATTACATGCATGCATATATATCTGAACATGTCGATGAATAATTATTACAAGTATACTTATATATATACAGCTCCCAGCCACATGATGGCTCTATCGGTAGCGTGTCTGTCTACAGATCTTGATGGTCGGAGTTCAAATCCCACTCTGGACAAAAATTATTTGTTGATAAAAGAGGTTTTTTTCTGGGTGGAATTTGAGCTTCATTAAACCTACCCATTTTCCTACCGTTTCACATACCGTAAATTAACCAACGTATGGCTAAATACACTACACAGTATCAAAATAGCCATGTCTGAGCCCCTTATATATAAGGGGCGATGACGAAAAAAAAAAAAAGTATACAGCTACGTATGTATATATACTGACATTCTGAATGCTCCCACTGGCCGACTAACTTTCTGTACTGGTACGGGAAAAACCCATACCACGTATCGGATATTGACGTACTAAGCATAAGGTTTAGCTATACTCAATAAGGTACTTTAAAGTTCACTACCGTACCAAATATACCTGTACCAGTAAACATTTTTCTTGTACAGAGTATCGAAAAGACTTGTACTAACCTATAGAACCTGTTTTTCTGGTAACAACAATCTTCCGTGTGGCCAAGCGGTAAGATGCTTGCCTGATAAACTGGGGGCTCGAGTTCGTGTCCCATATAACCCAAATTTTTTTTTTCTTTTTTCCTATAACTGTTGATATTTTAGGTAATCATTCTATTGATGTATAAATTATAGTCGTTGCACAAAATTTTTTTATTTATTTTTCTGTTCGAAATCTCACCTGAGATCTCAGATGAGAATTTGGCATAAGATCTCACCTGAGATCTCAGGTAAGAAATCACACGAGATATCAGATGAGATCTCAGGTGAGATTTGTCAGGAGGAAAACGTTCCAAGAAATAGAAACTAACAATTGAATAAGTCAGTTAATTAGAAAAAAAGATTATGGAAATATTCGTATTTCAAGCCCCTTAAACCTGGGTCTAAAACTTATAGTCTAGCTGATTGTGCTAGACTTGTAATGTTATAGCGTTAGCATAAAAAGTTCTGTATACTCTTTATATTTTTTAATTATTTAAGGTTGATTATCTAACTTCTATAGTCAATAGTATCATTTATTATGGGTGAGATTAACACTTTTGTTTGACGTACATTACTTAAACGTATTGAAATTTAATCTCTAGTACTAAAGCTGTGAATTATTTCATTTTTTCAGTGCAGCAAAACTGTAGCACTTAATAAACTTTCATAATTATTTAAAAAACTTTTTGTTATACGATTAAAACTGAGTCTTTATTATTAAAAATGTAAAACAAAATGAATGCAATCTTTTTTCACACTTTTAATAATTTATTTTTACTAAACCATGTAAACAGAATTATTATGATAAAATGTATGAAAAATAAAATTACTTAAATTGAGTTTTGCATAAAACAACATTTCATTAAGTTTCTATGTTCTTACAAAATAATTTTGACAGGCTTTGCGAACAGTTACAAAAATATCAATTTTCTTGTGTAAGTTAAACAATTTTTAGAACAAATTTTCAATGAATTCAACAAAACTATATAAAATAACATTTGATGATATCATTGTGACTTTAAGATAATGATTTTTTACAGTCTCTTGTTCTAGTTGAGAAAAAATTTTCCTAATTTTTGTTCAAATCTAACAATTTTTAAGAATACTACATTTTATGTATAATCTTATGTTGTAAAAATTAATATAATTTATCAGAGTACTGTATAAATAAGTGGAAAATTGTTTTTCCTGCTGGTATTTGATACCCAGATTAGAGTATTCAAGAGAGAAAGGTAATCTACAACTTTGTTGTGATAATAACAATAATTTTATTACACTTTTAATCGACTAATTTTCCCTTGGAATAAAAAGTATATGTAAAGTATATAAGTAAAATCCGTGAACGAAAAGTAGTTGTAAAATCAATTACTAGATTTATTGTTGACGAAAATGTTAAGAGACACGAAAAAATATAAAATGTACATTTGTAAGATGTTAATTATTAATTAGGTAACCAAGGTGGTAAACATTATTCACGAAATGCTTAAATAATACACATAAGTTAATACCAATAATTATTGGCTATAAAAAACCCATTAAAATAGCTGTGTTTATACCTGTAATAAATATCGTGAAAAAATACGTATTCGCTATGTACCTATGTCAGGTGGCGCCGTCGAGTGAGAGAAATTGTCCTTCGGACCAGGTTCAAATCTCCTTACTGAAGCTAAGAGACGTTTTTTTTTTTACTACTTATATTGGCTTTTCTAACTGCTTTTAAGCAGAAAAAATTTAAAATTATATGGGTAACGATTTATACTTTATTTTTTAGTTCTCGAAAATTTTGCTTAATATCGTGTAGGATATCACGTAGACTATCGTGCAAGCAGTCTTACACGATATCCTATAAGATTTCGTGTAGGAGATTTTGTAAGATATCGTGTAGGATATCTTGCACGATATCGCGCAGAAATTTTGTTACGGGAATATCACACACATCAAAACAAAATTGTAGCTGTAATTTCATTAATTTATAGCTATAATCATCTACGATATATAGGTGCTTGTTATACATTTTTATAGCTACATTATCTGTGATNTTTTTTTCTAGACATATTTTCGAGAAAAAAATCATTTAATTTTCTACTTTAACGTAGGCTCTTGGATTTAACTGACTCTTACTCTCTCGCTCTTGCTTAAATGATGTCTATCAATCTTACATTCAATTAAATCGTGAAACTAAATGCTCATATAATTATATGCACAGAATTTGATATCAAAACATTTTTTTTTTTCCGTACGTTAATACTTAATTTGAAATATAGTATCATTTTTAAAAAATGTCAGCTAATTTTTTTAAGGATGGCAGTTCAGCTATAACCACTGGTTAATTATTTTTCCTCATCATAATTGTTGTGAACTGTAGGACAAGCCCCGGAGGTTATCAATGAACATATGTGACTCTAAGATCTCCTTCCTCGAAGCTTCGATAGCTAAGGTAGTAAGGGCTTATGCCACTTTTGTTCTTGTTTCGCTATCTTTATTATTAATGTTTTTATTATTACTATTGTTACTATTATAACGTTCATAATACTATTCTTATTATTATTATTAATATTAGTATTTAAAACGATCCACACTATCTTGGTTGCAAAGATTAGTGGCTGATTCAAAGTCCAAATCATTTAATTCATTTTTAATATCAGCAAACCGTTGTAATGAGCAATTGTTAATCAAGGACAAACCAATAAAATACGGTGTGGTCTACTCACTTGCTCCGATTTTCCGCACTTACTCGCACGTACCCTGTACTGTCCATTTTCTGTACCATTCCACAAAATTTTCCAAGCATTCTTGAATTTCTGGATTACATCATCACAGTGGCAGCTTTTGTTTTTCAACATTACGTAGTTTTTATGAATTACAAACATCAATTACAGTGTCCATTTTTCAAACAAACTCAGCTGATTACTCCCACGTATAAGATATCAACCCATTTTCATCTCCGTTTTTAGCAGCTTCAACAGCCATTTTAATAGCCGCAGTCATTCGTCGACTCAAAAGTTGGAAAGCTAAACTTACTTTCATACATACAAAGTTATTTGGATTA